CTCGCCGCCAACCGTCGCCACGCGCCTAAGGCCGATTCTAAATTAGTCCCGATCCACAATAGGTGTAGTAAGCTTTAAGCCTTAAGAAATTGACCAATCACAGTAAAATTTGAGGAAAATAATCGACTGTGATTGGTCAATTTTTTAAGGCTTAAAGCTTACTAACCCATTGTGGCTCGGGACTTAGTTGCAAGTCTCAAGGTCCCAAGAAAATTGACCAATCACAGTCTTCTTTGGTCGTAAGAAGAATGATCTGTGACTGTGAAATTTTCTTACGATCTTGCGATTTGCAACTAATGGAGGACTACCATAATAGCCGTATCACACTAGCGACTCGCGACTGCGGCTGCGATTATGTCTCTTGACCAATGAGAAAAGCGGTAGGAGCTAGCAGCTTCTTTCTGACTGGTTAAGAGACATAATCGCAGCCGCAGTCGTGAGTCGCTAGTGTGATACGGCTATAATGCATGCTCGTGAGATAACAATAATCGACGTTCGCGTAATATTCCGTACCCTTTGGGCAATCGACGTTATCAGGGCCGTCGCGCGTATCGGAAGCGCCCCCGGGCGAAATTCAGAATTCACTCCGAGTCTCTCGAGCGCTGATTCGCACCCCTAATGAAATTCCGAGGAGCGCGAATCACACCTCGAATCTGTTAACGGCCTCTTACCCCCTTCCGTTCGGTTTCTCTATGACACCGAATCCGGACTTGCATCCGTCGGCGCTTTCGCACTGAGCGAAAAATGTCTAACAAATAAAAAGCATTTATTCGAGGAGTACTCTACATATAATAACGTATTTACTTTTAAATACAAATTCTTAAATTCTTAAAACTTGTATATATTCTTTCGTATGTTTTTTTATTATTTGTGGTTATATTCTTTCATATATTCTTTTATATATTTTTCTTTTAAAATTCTTTCTTCTATAATATTTCTTTTATATGATTCTTTTACCTAAATATTTTACAGTTAAATATTTTAGAATACATCTTCGAGTTTTAAGAATAAATTTTCTTATTATAATAATACTTTATATGAGCATGAAAGCACATATGTTATTAGTACTTGTCGAATAAATATGCTTTATTTCTTAGTTTTTGTTTCAGTGTAAACACACAACTATTATTTGCGCTCTACAAAGTCTTTCCTCTTTAGTTTTTGTGAAATTCAAATTTTCATAACAATTTCCCACGTCAATAAGAAGCAATAACAAAGATATTACGAAGGAAGAAAGTTGCTGTGTTTTATTCAACCGTATTAATTATTTAAATAACTTTAAATAATTTTAATTATTTAAATATTAATATTTATGCTTATAAATTACTTCTGTACCCTATCTGCGATTAAGTAGGATAAATAGTTAGCATACCGCTTACTTAGATTAAAAACAAAAATAAATGCGCAGGTAGAATATTGAGATAATTAGAAATATTAAATAATTCCGAATATTCATTTTCCAGAAACGATGCAGAATCTGCAGCCGTTCTGAAGGCTGTCAGTGGGTCCTTTCTTAAAACACGTGGATATTGAAATTGAGAATGAATATTAAATGCCGGGACGGAATATCGAGAGATACTCGAATATTAAATAATTTCGAATATTAATTTTCTAAAAGCGTTTATGGCACAGGGTACGCAGCCATTCTGAAAGCTCTCAACGGATCCTTTTTTTAACAAGTGTATATTGAAATCAAGAATGAAGATTAAATGCAGGCGGAAAATATTGAGATAATAAAATATTACATAATTCCGAATATCCATTTAGTAAAAATGCTCGTAACATCTGGATCACTTGAGGCTCTCTGTAGATCCTTTATCAAGTGTCAACGCAGAAAACATCGCAGTAATTGATCATTTATCGTATCAAACGCACAAATTTAAATTTGCAATACTGCATATATACAATAAAAAACGTACGACGGAAATTTCGACTCGGAGAAAATATCTCTAAGATATCGAGACATCCCGTGTGGAAATTTGGCAAAACTTGATCTTATTCTAGCATCTGTCTACTTTTCTTGATGTTTCTCTGTTTCAAAATCTGTTCTTCATTTTAAATATCCTTACGTTATTTAATTATTATTGACACATAATTTCCTACAATTTATTTTACACGACCTGGAATGTAGCATCGACTAGTAAGTAGGCCTATCCTCTAGCTAACAGCCTAGAAAAGTGCTATCTAGTGCCTGGATAGTTTTATACTTCTAAGGGTTAGATTTCACAATGTTGCACATAGAGCTATATACTGGCCAAGTTTACAAGATAGACTCTAGATAGTGCCCAAAAAAACTGAATTGCATCTAAACTATCCCGGATAAAAATTTCCACACGGGACGCTCTTTCGCGACTTCGAGAGAAAGATGAAAAGAAAACCCCCAACTGAGGGTACTCACCGTCCAGGTAGAAACTGCTGTTGGCGTTGTACAGGTTGAAGACGATCGGTTTGATGCTCTCGAAGGTCAGGGTCTCGAGAAAGTTACGCCGCAGGTCGAGGAAGGACACGCTGGGGATGCTATCGAGAACCTGCGGCTCGAGCTTTATCAGCCTGTTGCCGCTGAGATAGAGCTTGCGCAGCTTGTGTAGACCGGAGAACGCGTGACCCGCGATTATCTTGATGTGATTGTCGTCGAGCTCGAGCACCTGCAGCTCCGGCGTATCCACGAAGCTGCGGTCGCCGATGATCGTCAAGGCGTTATTACGCAAATCGAGATGTTGCAGATTGCGCAGTCCTTGGAAACAGTCGCGGACGATGTTGTTGATCTTGTTGCGGCTCAGTACGAGCTTCTGCAGGGAGGTCAGCTGCTTGAACGCCTTGTCACGCACCGTACTGATCAGATTACGATCGAGATAGAGGGTGCGCAGGACTGGCAGTTCTACGAACGTTTCCCTGAAAGAGCAGAAGCGCGCGAAGCGCTCGTCAGGTTTAAGAGCTCCTATTAAGGCTAGAGTTAAATTTTCATGTTTCAAAAAATGCTAAAAAAATTGTAAAATAAAAAAGACTCTGAAATTAAAAAATCATAAAATATGTTAAAGGATTAATAAGAGCAAACACAAGATATTAGCGTATAAAAGATGAATGATTTTTACTAGATGAAAAATCACGTTTGTTTTAATTGATTTTTCACTCAGCAGAAATCATTCATTTTTTACACGCTAATATCTCGTGTTTGGCTCTTATTGGCCTTTTAATATATTTTGCTGCAAGAAACATTACGAAACTTAAACTGATTTTGAGATTTTTTTTTCTTTAGGTAAAAGATTTAAAGGAAATTTTGAAAAATTTTGTTGAATGAGGTTTTAGTATTTTGCTTTTTTTGTAGATGATATAACGAAATTAAATTTAGAAATGTTTCTCAATCAAAGCAATAGATAGTTCTTTTTGTATCTTATTTAATTTGACATCAGGTGCAAATTATTGATATTGAAGTTAAATATTGAAACCCTAATTATAAACTTGAAGAAAATCATACAAACCTCCTTCCACTAAATATTATCTTAACAAATAAGGTTAATTGAAATAGTAAAATAATTTTAGTTAAATTACTGGATCAAGGCTAAATTCAATAAGACTAAATCTAATTCCGATTATTGGATTAAGAAATTCAATGACTAAATCCAATTCCATCTTCTAGAAAAAGGAATATTAAAACAATCCCGAAACACCTCATTTTCTAGAAAGAAGATATTTAAAGCATATTAAATAATTCTGAATCAATGTCTTTTAAGGTAACCGGATATCAATTCCGAATATCCATTTTCTAAAAATATTTAGAGCACATGACCTGGAGTTATTCTGGAATTTCAAATTAAACATTGAGTCGATATAAGATCAATAATTTAGTTTTTTAGGCTTTCGCGGTGTCCATGCATATTAGATTTGGTTTCCGGATTTGAGTCGCGTGGATTCATCTTTGTTTGATTCCGACGTTTCGTGAACATTTCAATCCGCTTCATCAGGCATCGGGTCGTTCCTCCCTGATGAAGCGGACTGAAATGTTCGCGAAACGTCAGAATCAAACAAAGATGAATCCACGCGGTTCAAACCCGGAAACCAAATCTAATATCAATAACTTAGTTTGTTGGACGAAAAAAGCGCGTATAAAAAAAAATTGCATAATAACTCCCGTGTGCTCATTGAGTCTCTTTTAAAAAATATAGCTGAAAGTTCCTCTCGAGAAGTACAGCTGAGAACTGAATGGTGTATGTGTAATTGACACTGTGAGCAATTTTTCAGACGCGATTAGTCGCAATTTATGCGTGACTCAAGACTCGAGACAGCTGGTAACGTGGCGTACAACGTGTTAAAGATTCATGCACGCGATATACAGCTGATGTCGCGCGCTGCCGAACGTGAGGACTATATACTCGGGCTGAGGTCGAACAAAAGCGAAGGAGAGACGCGCTGAAGTCGCGAATCACCTCGAGAATCGAGGGGCTAAGGAAGACAACTAGACTGAAGAGAGGAGAAGAAGGGCAGGTAAGCGACAGATATCTCAGCGTCGTCGTCCGCGTTAAATGCCAGCCGCCTGCGAGGGAACTCGATGACGCGCCGAATTGTCTTCTCGCGAGAACGGAAAACTTTCTCTGACGAACTCGTTACGCTCGCGTCGATCGATCGTATTCAAAGAAGCGCGGCCTATTCTATTCGCCGCTTTTCATCCAAATGATAATTTCTTACCGCGACGAGGGACAAAGATTGTAAGAAAAAGAGAGGGGGGAGAGGAGAGAGAGAATGTAATGTTGTATTGTTTACGCGCAAGATGCCTTAATGGTGTCCGTGGATAAAAGGAGATCGGCCCACGGTGTACACTTTATGTAATTTTGTTCGAAGCGATAAAAATAACGTCGTTGCGAGATGCAATTATGTGACTAGTTTCGCGATTCAACATAGCGGATTTGACTCGAAATAAAGAAAGGGGAAGGTGGAAACGTTGAATATATAAAGAATTTATTAATATAACACATATATTAATAAATAATAGTATTAATAACATATTTATATAACATATATAAAGAACTTATTACCTTGCAAATGACATTTCATCGTTTCATCCCTTAACTGCGGATAACGCGCGAAAAAGACTCGGCCGAATAGAGACGTTAAATATATAATCGAAAAGCGAAGGGGCGCGAGAGACGTAACAAGTTTAACGGCGCTTACGCATGCGCGCATTATCGAATATTGAAATTAAATATGAAAATGCAAATAAAGTCGCGGCGCGCCGCGGCGGCTGAAAGTTGAAATTAGTCGGCGCGCTCGTCACAATCGAATTAACATATCGGACGGGGAAAAGATGCGTGGAGAATTATTAATCATCGAGACGCGCGTATCACATCCGCCGGTCGGTGTTGGAAAAAGCCTTTGCATGGCGAATTTTCGTGTCGCGGGCAGAATAAACCGCGTTGAGAAAAGTGAAGGAGGGAACGGACTAAAGGAAGAAAGGGGTAACGTTAGTTCCTGGAGCAAGTGACGAGTAATTCGTCTGGGAGTCGAAAGCAGGACGATAACGATAACGCCGGGCACGAAAATGGTTACACGAGTGGAAGAGAAAAACCTGAGAGAGAAAACGAGAAAGGGAGAAACAGAGGGAGAGAAAGAGAGGAAGAAACAGACCGCGTTAGAGCCGACTGAATCAGCGCCACGAATTTATCTCAATTTAACGTTAATTAATTGAAGGATTCGGCGAGGATAATGCACTCCGTGCGTTATTGACAGACGATGAACAATCAATGCGATAAATCTCCGTCGGCAATTAATATTTTTTTCCTCGGCGACTCTCGAATGCATCAACATCGACGCGCTGTCTCGATGCACGCTGTGAGAAAAAGAAATATTTGAGAAATGAAGGAACCCTTACTCGATGGATGTTGACTGATAACACATTTATTTGAATCTAAACTCTTCGATTTAAATGGAACAAATAATTGCTCTCGCGAAAAGGTTCCAAGAAGATTCATATCTCTTTATTTGAAAAATGTTTCAGATTCGCACAGGTAAATATGTCATCAGCAACTCAACCACCGAATAAATAATAAATAACTACCGAATAACCAAATAAAAATAAATAAATATTTAATTTCTTAGATATTTTTCCCCTCATACAGTGTACACGAAAATACACGTTTAATTTTACTAAGAGAAGAAAGAAGAAGAAATATTTTAAAGTGCGACGAATTTCTTTTATATAAAAAAATTATTTCAAAGTAAAAGAAACTTATTTCTTATAAACTTGTTTCTTACACACTCATGGAAAAAGAAGATCTGCTACATATGGGCAACATAATTTGTTGTATTAACTACTTTTTCTTTGCTGCAGGAACCAATTTCCTTGCTATGATAACAAGAAAATCTGCAACAAAAAAAAGTAGCTAAAATAGTAAATTATGTTTAGTTGTCTGTAGCAAATTTGCTACGTTAGCTACTTTTCTTGTTGTAGGAGCAAACTTTCTTGTTATTACAGTAATAGGTTCCTGCACCAAAGAAAAGTCCATATGTAGCAAATTAGTTTGCTGCTACAGCAAATTATTTTTTTCCGTGCTGTTTCCTTTTCTCTTCTTTCAGGATGCGAGTCCTTTTCTCATCGCAACATGAATGAATTTGAAAGCGAACGTGATTCTTACACGGAAAAAAATAATTTGTTGGCCCAGCAAATTTTCTGCTGGTCTAGCAAAATTTTTTCGTTATTATATGGACAGCAAAAAGATTTACTAAAAATACTAATCACTATTTGCTGGATATAATTTGCTGAATCTACAAATTATTTTGCTGTAAGAACTATGATGGATTTATATAAGCAGTTGCAGTTTTGTTCCAATAGCAAATGAATTTGCTATGGATACATTATTTTGGATCAATAGTTCATCATCAAAAATTAACCCTTTAAGTATCACTGGTACCAATAGAGACCACTTAGGATCGGTTAGTTGAAACCTTATAAGTGTGCTATTTAGAGTGTTTTTGACAATATTTCATTAAAAAAAAGTTACTAGAATATTCTATGAATTATGCGCCTTAAGAGAATGCTGGAGTCAATGACGAACAATGTCGATAATGCAGAGACGATCATCATTAACATAATCACGCTATCTTTTTCATATTTCTTGTATATATAGAACTTCCATGAATATGTGTTGCTCTGTTTTACTATATTCAACGAAAAACCTAATCTAATGAGTATAGAAATCTTTCTGCAAACTTTTCCGATATTCTGAAGCTTCCAAATGCAAATGCAAAGGTAGAGCAATGTTCTTCAAAATTTTTCTGTTTGAAGTATCCACACTTTCGGTATGTACAAGCTGCGGAACTTTTGGATTAGGCAAATGTTACGCTAACTGACAGTTTGAAATGTTACATTAAAATTTTTTGTTTGCTTTCATCACATATGGAGCAATGCTTCTATTAATTTTTGCACGTGTTTTCATAAAAGCATTTGTAATTCTGTGTAACTTATACGACATAAACTTTGCAAAAAAATGTGAGTATTCTGTCGATAAAGTTTTCAGCTTCAGCATCTCCTTAAACGAGATGTTAATGAGAAGTGCAATAGACGCCGCGACAAGCACCGGCTGTGTATGCCGAAATCAAGAATACTTTCTAATAATGTACTCACGATACATCCCGGCGATCGCTATTTCGGCACTCCCGATACTTATTTCCGCGCCCGACTCACTTTCGATAGATAAAAGATGCATAGAACGCGGAGCGATGTCGATCGCAATGTGTCAGGTGAGGCTGCTCGTCGCGAAAGATCGATGTCCAAGATGGCCGCGCAATCACTGATGCAGTGCCGAAAATGCGCGCCAAAACGAGAATGATGTCGCGGTTCGACAAGGACGCGCTCTAGTAGCCGCGCTTCTCTCACTCTCGCTGACGGACCGCGCGCGCGA